CAGATCTGAGCACTTTTATTTTTCTCCCAGACTAATTTTCAACGTATGTGCATAATTCTTCAAAGATTCCTGGTACTTCATCCTTGGTCTTTAGGAAACAGCAAAATACTTTCCCTGAGTGGTCATCAATCAGGGTCCTTGAGTGGTTATCAATCAGGGTGAGCATATATCGAGCACCTCCCCATGACTCAACCTCCATTGGCCCACACAAATCACTGTGCACCAAGTCAAGAACATTTTTAGCTATTTGTTTACCCTTCAGAAAAGGAAACGGCTTGCGTGCATGCTTTCCTTTTATACACCTGATGCAAATCGTTGGAGTAGCTGGCTTCATGCTGAAGTGATTAAGATCCCCAGCCTCCTATGCCATAACATATCATTATCTGATTTAACTAAATTTACCTTATCAGTGATTGTGTCTAACTCATACAGTCCACCATTGTTCGATGCTGAAGCTAATGGCTCTCCCTGAATGCGATATTTTTCTTTTTCAAATATCCTGCATCCCTTAGAGTCAAAAGTAACACTGAAACCCTTCTTCACCAAGGTATTCACTGATGACAGGGTGACACTTAAGTTTGGCACATATTTCATTCCACTGATTTTTGTTTTTCCACCATTTCGCTGTAATTTTATTTCAGAGACCCCTATTCCAGCAACACATAACTTTGAGTTATTTGCCATCACAACTTCTTCACCACAGTTAGACGAAAAGTCTTTTAATAGTTCTTTGGACCCTGTCATATGTGAAGAAGCCCCACTATCCACAAGCCATACACTATTTTTTGCACTCCATCAGACAACACAACGTTGCCAAAACCAGTAACGTCTAACGTGCGATATTGCATATTTTAACAAGCTTAACTCGCTCTCTATTTGTTTAAACATTTAAGCTTGGTTCTCGCTGAAAGCCAACTGGTCGGAGTCCTTGTGGAGTCCAGACTCAGGTACGGTATTTGTATGTGAGGCTGCTCTGCTGCGACACATGTTTTTATTACTCAAAAGCGAATTGTTAGATCAATGACGCGGGCAAGTAAAACACTCAGTTGTAGAGAAATTTAAAAAAAAAATAAAATCTTAACAGTAACTGCCCTGGCGATTCACGAGTTGGCATTATATGTATTCCGGAATAAGACCAAGTCTACTCTCAACAAAGAAATACACACAGTTGCCACGAGGCAGAGTAATAATATACACTCCAATTTTTCTAAATTTAAATTAGGAAATAAATCGCCAAATATACTTGGTCCTAAAATCTTTAACATCCTTCTAAATGATATACAAGGAATAGCAAATCAGAGTCACTTCAAGTATTATTGTTTGAAAGTTTCTTTTTAATATATAAATGTTTGTATAATGTTTGTGAGTTTATCAGTGTGTTAATGTTATTTATAATCTTGTTTTAATATAGTTTTGTTATGTCTGTATATAGATGCTCTTTTGACGATTTATATACAGTTTGACTTAAGAAAAATAAATTATTATTATTAATGTTACACTCCAACGACCTACACTGTGAGAGCGCTCCTGATTGGCTAAGAAATGTATTTAAGGAATTACGGATTACATTTGATCCACCCTACGACACTAAGTGACACGATAATGATAAATAGATGCTAAAAAAGCGACAAGGTTTTGACAGTACTTTATTTGGAGATACACAAATAGACATTCAATACATTTCTATCTGTTTTCACAATTCCCAAACATTCAAACTCGTTTTAAAAAATGATAATACATAACTTTGGAATAAGACTATGACAATGTAAACGTTGAAGAACAAGGACATTTGATTGTAAATTACCAGAATTTGCGAAATGACAACGTTCCAGATGGCAAATAGAATATGCCCACTCATGCTTTTCGTGTAACAGTCACACTTATCTGCCTTGACAGAACTGTAACGTTGCTATCTTAGGTAGGGAACTGACGTCCTTAGGACATCTTACTTTGAACTTTGACGTCTTTTGGCCGAATGATGTCCTCTTACTGGCCCTACCTAGTGGACGTCTACATGACGTTTCAGTTTAGTCGCCTTGAAGAGGTCATAATTAGTCCTAGCAAGGACTAAACAAGAAAAGTACATAATTAGTACCTCAAACACATACAGGGTGGCCCAACGAAGATGTTACACCCCCATTTGTGACTCTTCTGGTATATTTTGGGGGAAACGCTCAGACACGTCAATTTTGATTTCTAGGGATACGTCTTTTCATCTATAGCCCTACAATACAGGGTGATCCAAAAATAAGATATTGCGTCATACTTTAGATTCTTAAATGGAAATCCCCATTTTTTTAATGTTTATATTTTCCTAGAAACTTTTAGTAACTTTTATATAATAAAGTTTAAACCTACCTTCAATCGTTGTTGAAGCTGTTTGAGTTTATAATAAAATTAATGGTGATAATATAATAGAGCCACGACTTACCGAAATAATAGAAAATGACTCCAATGATAATGAAAATTACATGCATTTCCAACAAGACGGTGCACCGCCGCACTATGTGGTTCCAGTACGACAGTTTTTGGACGAGGTCCCATCAAGTGGCCACCGAGATCTTCGGATCTAGGATCTAAGTCCTTTAGATTACTTTTTTTTGGGCATTTGCAAAGTAAAATTTTTACGTACGAATCCAGATTCCATTTAAGATCTTCGTCAGCAGATTACGGATGAATGTAAACAAATAACTCAAGACATGCTTGAAAATGTGAGGAATAGATTCGAACAAAATCTTTATTATTGCATGGAAGTAAATGGGCACCTCTTTCAGCACTTCTAAAAATTAAAAAAATGGGGGTTTCAATTTAAAAATATAAAGTGTAACGCAATATCTTGGATCACCCTGTATCGTAAGGCTATAGAAGTAAAGACGTCCCCCTAGAAATCAAAATTGACGTGTCCGAGCGTTTTCCCCAAAATATACCAGGAGAGTCACAAATGGGGGTGCGACCTTTTCATTGGGCCACCCTGTATAACGGATTTTGTTGCTTTTGCAGAAAGTTTTACATAAATCCACAAGCCACAAGATGTTGAAAAAAAAAAGTTTTTAAAGCACCCGCGTCCAGGTAACAGAGCAACTGAGCAATCTGCTGCGCACGCTCGAAGGCGTGTAATGCCACGTCGCCATAACATCAAATATTCCGAATTTATATTTATTTATATGTGGTGAGGTAATTGCTTAAGGCAGGTTTTGATAAGTTACATCCAGCAAATATGCACCTATACTCATACCAATAAAAATCTACTGGAGCAATGCAAGTCTGAATGAATATATAGAAGGTCAATCAGTTTACATCGTACAAATGACTCTTAGCAAAAGTGTGTTCCCCATTTGAAAATATAGTGAACATTATCTTCTGAAAACGTTTCCGGCGAATGGTCAAGCGGGCAATCCTGCCTTCTCCTTTTGTATAAGTTTGTAAATACATGTAAAAGTGTACAATTGTTACTTAAGTTTTTTATATAATAAAACACTTCAAATCTACGATTCTACTGATAGTTCCAAAGACATCACTATATGACGTTCTGTAGTCGAAACTATCCACGTCTTGTGCTCGTCACTATGTGACGTTATCAAAAAGTGCCTATATGACGTCTTGTGTTATCCACCTAACGTAGTCAGGACGCCAACTGAAAGGGCATCTACGTCACTAAAATTGGGAGACGACTTTTCTTCTTTCTCAAAGTATACGAATATTTAAGAATAAATACTATATATATATATATATATATATATATATATAAAATACAATTACTTGTTAATTGGGAAATTGGCAAAACTTTTAGGCTTAAGTTGACTCTTTTGACGATAAAATCAAGCTTTCGGCATTCTCGATGGAGCCATCATCAGGATTCTGAAAACACAATTGTGATGCTAGCAAAGAAAACAGGACAGATTTAAAATGTCAGACAACTTACTCGTCGGTGAGGTTGCAGCCACAAGGTGTTTCAGAAAGAACGTAGAGAAGATCGAACTTGTGTTCAGTATAAAAACAAAAGGACGGGGACATTGGGCTTGTTAAAAAACGACAGATACCTTCGTTAAAAGTTAAGAAAAATAAAAATTATATCAATACACCCGAGTAAAAAATATTACACGTGGGGAGACATTTTGTTGAAACAATCGGAATGCAGTCCCTAACCTTCTACTACCGCTACACGTGGGGGCCTCGGTTGGCCGCGTTGGTCAGAGTGTCGTGCTACTGATCAGCCGGCCGGCCGGGCCGCGAGTTCGAATCTCGCCTTCGCCATGGATGTTGTGACGTCGTGTGTTTGTCCATAATTAGAGAAATATAAGTAAAGATAGGTTTACGTTGGTATAATTAGTAAAGTTCGATGGTAGAGTACTTATTATTCCCCTACTAGAATAATGTAAACAAGTTGTGCTAGTGGCAGTAGAGTACTACAGATAGTCCAGGGGAGAGTAAAGTGGATAGCACGTGTGGAATAGTACACTCGACTATCCACCCCCCACTTCCACAATCGTACTCTACTCTACTGGTTTGTTGGTTGACTATACCAATGTAAACAAACACAAGTTTGGTTTTGTCTGTGTTTTTCGGACTGCTTGTGCGCTTCAGTCATTTTAGTTAAACATTTTATCTCAAATTTTGCTTACTACGTTTAAACAAAAATGAAGTGGACGGAACATGAAACTATGAAATTAGTGGCAGTGTACAAAGATTACGAATGTATATGGAATATCAGCAGTCCTAATTATAGAAATAGGGCAATGAGATCAGCCGCCTACGAAGAAATCGTAAAATATATGGCAAAGGAAAATTTTGGTATTGCCGAATTAAAACAAAAAATTAAAAATCTGAGATGTACTTATAATCAAGAAACTGGGAAGATAAAAAAATCAAAAAAGTCAGGTGCCGGTATAAATGATGTCTATGTTCCGAATATTAAATGGTTTGCTTTAATGGATTCTTTCATGAAAAACGTTAAAGGCTCTAGCACTACACAGGACAACATAGGCAATACAGAAAGTCAAGTAAGTAAACATTTTTATTTGTTTATAAAAAAGTTATGTTGTGTGGACTATAATGTTGATAACTGTTTCTAATTACGTAATCTATGGTAAAAACAAATCTCATATTATATTCCGAATTGTAAAAATATCATACTTATTCATTTAGTAAATATTCTTGTACTGCCAGGAAACAGCACCTTCGTTAGTGAAATAATTTTTTAAATTATCTCGAATTTGATTTGCCAAGTTTGTTGCCCGTCTCTCATGATATCTTTCCATCCTACGTAGCTCTGTAATTTCGGCTCTCCATTGACCAGCGTTTATGGAGCCGGTGATGATATCTTCTTCATCTACGGAGCCACGAGGTAAATTTGTAGCAGGTGAGGTCTTTCGTAAAAAGTTGTGAAGAGCGCATGCAGCCAGCACTATCTTATTGACTGTTTCTAATTTGCAATTAATTTTTTTATCGAAAATTCGGAATCTGCTCACCAAAATTCCAAAGCTGTTTTCCACTATTCTTCTAGCTCTGCTTAAACGATAATTAAAAATTTTCTCTGGTATACTAAGCGGTCTTCGGTAATTATTATACGGTTTCATCAAATAATGTCGTAAGGGAAAGGCATCGTCGCCAACAATGCAATATCCTGCAGGCAACCATCCATTTTGCAACAAATTTCCAAGTGCACATTTCTGGAAGATTCCACCATCAGATTGAGATCCCTGGCTGCCAATACACACATAAGTAAAACAGTAGTTGTGGTCTACTAGAGCCATTAGCACGACACTATAGGACCCTTTGTAATTAAAAAACTGGCTTCCAGAGTTGCCAGGACATAATATCAAAATGTGTTTCCCGTCTAAGGCACCACAACAACCGGGAAAATTCCAATGCTCTTCGAATCCATTTGCAATTATTTTCCACTCTTCTTCTGTTGTTGGCATCTGGAACAGAAAGAAAAATATGTTTTCCTATTACATCTTAAAAAAAATACTATTTTGTTTTTACTTAACACGTTTGCTGCGACACATGCCTCCAGGGGCATGTTTCGTTCTTTACTACTAGGCTGAATGATATTTGGGCAGATATTCGTTACGTGCGGATGCCATAAAAACTTTATTCCTTACCCAATTTTTTCCGTATATATACCTATGTGATCAGGAACTAATCTATAATTACAAAATATGTTTTTTTCAGGACATGCCTCCGGTGGCATGCGCCGCACACAAGTAATGAAATTTACTTTGTGTGCGACACATGCCACCGGAGGCATGTGTAGTTTTACTGCAACCTGTTTGTTTTTGAGGTTATGTGATTTGTGTACAATACAACAAGGGTGTTTAAATTGAACAAAAGATGTCTGAAAGAACGAAATATATGGTAGAAATTGCCAGAAAACAAATGAGACATGCAGAAGTTGATGAGAACTCAGGTGATATATTGCAAAAAGTGTGGTGTCGGAAGTTTTTCAAGAAGATGATTCCTTTGGTGGTAATAGAGCTGATAATCAAGAAACGGACCGCAGAATTGAAGAAGAAAGTGCTGTGTTACACACTGAGAACTGTACTTCGAAAAGAGTGGTGTCGAAAGTTTTCCGAGAATATGATACGTTTGGTGGAGTTGAAAATCAAGAAAAGGAGATGACGACATGAATATAATATAACAGACGAACTCGAAGTAGAAGATCCTTATAGCAGCGATGATTCCTTGCGTGACAGAAACTATGTTCCAGACTCATCCTCTTCATCTGATTCCGAACAATCATCCGAATCACGTCAATCATCCCCAGTGACCATTAAGACTAATCAGACTGTAAGTAATAATGAGCAAACTGATGATTCCAGTGACAATGAGTGGTGTGACTTAGATGATGACGATGTGACTGACAATTTTGTCCCACAAAAATGTAAACTTTTAAATATTGACAAGAACGGCATTAAGGAACCCATTGACGCTTTTACTTGCCTTATTACCGATGAAATATTAGATTTAATTGTCGAACAAACTAATATTTTCGCCACTCAGAAGCAAGCTGATCAGCATTCCAGAAAATCCAGAATTAATAAATGGACTCCAACAAATCGAGATGAAATTAAATTTTTTTTGGGTGTCACGCTGGCTATGGGGCTTACTCAAGTTCCTCATATCAATCTATATTGGGCCAAAGATGACATATATCATAACCACTTCATTTCCAGTGCAATTAGTCGTGATCGTTATCTTTTGCTGTTATCATTTCTTCATTTTGAAAACAATGAGACTTGCGATAAAGCAAACAGACTCTACAAAATACAAAACATAATATCCAAGTTACTTAAAAATTTTCAAGAAGCCCTAAAACCTGGCAATACGTTAGTAGTAGATGAATCTATGATACCATTTAGAGGACGACTCCTGTTCCGGCAGTACATCCCAAACAAAAGCCACAAATATGGGATTAAACTTTACAAGCTCTGTTCGCCAGAAGGATATACCTTTTTCGTCATTGTGTACAGTGGAAAGGGGGACACAAATGCTGAACTTGGCCATTCCCAGTCCATTGTACTAAAATTGTTGGAAAATGTTGAGCCAAAGGAAGGCAAAATCCTATTTGCAGATAATTTTTACTCCAGCGTCCCCCTTGTCAAACAGCTGTTAAAAAAGAAGATGATGTACTGTGGCACATTACGAGCCAACAGAAAAGGTTTACCAGTAACTTTTTCTGTAAAAAGTAAAATAAAAAGGGGACAAAAAAGGAGACGTCAAGATTTTTAAATGGATGGACAAGAGGCAGGTGTTAATGATAAGTAGTGTACCATCTCATAAGGCAGATTTAATTCCAGTTGGAAAAAAAACTAAAAAAGGAGAAGATGTTGTTAAGCCCCAATGTGTGATTGACTACAATGCAGCCAAAAAGGGGGTCGATTATTCAGACCAAATGTCTGCATACCACACTGTTCTGCGTCGAAGCCTGAAGTGGTACAGGTGAGTATTCTTTTACATTATTTTAAAGTATGGCATACTATATTTTCTGATGTTTTTTTAGGAAAGTCATGTTTGAGCTGATTCTTGGAACATCCGTGGTGAACTCCTTAATAATATATAACTTATGTGCTAAAGAAAAATTGAGCATAACAGAGTTTAGGCGTCAGCTAGCTTATTCCCTAGTCAAATCTCCAAACTCTGAAGAAACGATAAAGGTTCAAAAAAAAAGAGTGCATAGTTTTCAAAAACCTGACGGACCTGGCAGGAAAAAGCGCAAGCCCTGTAAGGGTTGTCGTCAAATTTTAAAAAATCTGGATTGAATTATCGCGAAATCGACAAAAAAGTTCGAAGGGTTATAACATATTGTTCTGATTGTCCAGGTCAACCTGGATTTTGTTTAAATTGCTTTAACGCTGCTCATAATTGAACTATGTAATACAAATGTTATGATAATTTTGAGCTATAATATTATATTCGTGTATTTTTTTTTTAGTTTCTATCTTTTCTAAGTTAATTTTAGGATATAATTTACATTTTTTTTAAGTTCTACACCGTTTTTTCAAATTTAAACTTAAAATAAATATGTTTACTTTTTGCATAATGAACAAATATAAGTAACCTAAAATTTTACTTAGTTTTCTTGCGGCACGTATCCCCGGAGGCATGTGCTATTGAAAATGCAGGCAGAGTTCTTTATGAAAGCAACTAGAATTCATTGATATTTGAAAAAAATTTTAACTGGTGGAACTAGATGTGTCTACATGTCATAAATGCAAACATGCCACAGGAGGCATGTGACGCACAAAAAATAAAATAAGGCACGGGTCTCCAAAGGCATGTGCCGCACACCAAATGAAGGTAGAAATTGGTAGCCGCAGTCAACGTGTTAAATGGAAACTTTAAAGAAAAATAGCAAAAATCTAATTAATTGTTTTGCAGCCTTGCATAAGTAAAAAAATAATAATTTTAAAGCGATTTATATTGAGACATGAATTTATTAATGCACTTTTTTTCAGGCAAGCCAGGATGAAGAGAGTGCTCTCGAAAATGATGGAAGGCCAGAATATACAGTGGATGAAAATACTGAAGTTTCTGCGAACACTACATTATCACGAGACCAAGCACAATCAACCGCATCGTCCCAATCAGTATCACGTGTAACTCCAAAATCTAGAGGTAAAAAAAGGCAACTTGATGACTTGAGATCAGCGGTGAACGAATTAAAAAATGTTCATAAGAATCTAAATAACCAGCCCGAGTGTCAAATAAGCAAGAATGAAGCATTTGGGCAATATATTACTGCGTGTCTCAATAAGCTGCCAGTACAAGAATATGTTATGTTGCAATCCGAAATACAATCTTTGGTAACTAAGTATCGACTAAAGGCAGTACAGACTTCCGTGGCGGTAAATACCCCTTCCGAGATTCATTCACAAGCATTGAACGAAGAGCACTCATTTACGTCTCCTTCTAACAGCGTAGAGGACCAGGTAATCTTGGATGGGAATCTCTACTCACGACAATCTCAAGAGGAACAATATAGTACGCTTCACCAACTAGTACCGCCTGAACAAACATTTACTTTTACTTCATCTCAATATCCGAACGAGGAACATTTCGAGCAATAATTACAATTTTCTAAGGAAAGCAGTGGACAGGAAACATTAAGTAACATACTTTCTAAAGCTTGGCAATCAGCATAATTTGTTTGAAATAATAAAAAAGTTGGAATACATTTTGAATAATAAACTAAACTCATATTATTGTATTTATTTATTAAAACTTACCTTAAAGTATTCGTGTAAGGCTTCGTTCATTGCTTCACATACTGCAGGAATAAAATTACTTATTGCTGGTTTTGAGACTCGAAAGAGGTGTTGTAAACTACGATAACTATTGCCTGTGACCAGAAAATTTAAGGTAATTTCTAATTTAACACGTGCTGGTATTGCATCCCTCATGAATGTGTCCATTTTCTGAATATGCGGCTTAATTAAATTCAGCAGTGTTTCAAAACTATCAGGTGTCATTCTCAAGCACATTCTATATTCTTCTGGGTCTTCCAAAGCCAGTTCTCTTAAAAGATTGGCAGATGCTCCCAATTTATCACGTCTTTTAATCCAATCCCTTACCCAAATTATTTTTTGTTTACTAGTTTCTTCCTCTATAACTTCCTCAATTTCATTTAATAAAATATCTGCAGCTTGCACTAAACATTTTTTTAAAACGGCTCGATATTTTTGCCTAACCTGCTTCATTATTACACATGTTAAATCGAACTATCTTTTCAAATTACTAGCAAAAGTAAATACAGTTACTCTACCAAAATGAGCATAGTAGAGTATTTCAGGAAAAAAGTATGCTAGTGAACTCTACTACTAATTATACCAATGTAAAGCAGGCTTCACACACATCTGTGGCAAATGGATAACTTCCAATGCCAAACAAAAAAAAAAAAACCGCTACACGTGGAGAGGGGGAAGGCACGGACGGTAAAGCGTCGACAGAAGACAAGTGATTGACGCGACGGAACGTGGAAATGTACACCTCCCTGTCCAACTTTGGGTATGAAGTATACGAGGGACGCTCGGTAAATCTCCACCCAAAATTACTAAAATGCTGGAATAACTTGTTTTGGAAAAGAGTGTGTGGTTCATATGAGTGCAAGAATGTGTGATATTGATACAACCTTGAAAAGATGGGTTATGTGAGCTTATATTAAAAATGTGAGTGAGAAAATGTATTCTAATTTTGTGAAGATGTTGGATCAATTTGGACATGTAGCCGTTCTAGCTTTTCGCAATTCAACAGGTAGGAATAAATGACGCTGAGCTGCTTTTTATTCATGCAATGATCTGTCATGAAAATGTGGGACATTTCTAAAAATAAACGTTTTGAGAGTCTTTTTTCTTTATCAAGAACCTCAATACTGCCATAATTCATAGAGTGACCTGTGTTGTTAATATGCGACGCCAAAGCACATCTTTTTGGATGTAATCTGGCATCACTTTTGTGTGACGTTATCCTGCCTTTCAGCGACCTAGAAGTTTGGCCTATATAAACTAAATTGCAGTTGTTGCAATTAATACGATAGACAGTATTGGTTGAATCAAGCAACTGAACCTTATCTTCATGTTGGACAACAAACTGTTGACTGTGAGAACTGATTTACAAGCAAAACGACAATTAAAGGGATTATACAGCCTGATCAATTTTGGTGTTAGTTCTTTGATGTATGGCAAGACAACATAGTTAACTCTGGAAATAGGAGCAACCACTGTAGTGCTGTTGTTCTCATTACTTGAAGAATTAATGGGTATATGGTTTGATTGACCCGTGTTGTCATTCTAACTATTGTTATTAGTGATTGGCAAAATATTCGGAGGAGAGCTGAACAAGATTAACCAAATACTTAGGATAGCCATTGTTGATAAATAAGACTGAAAGCTTCCTTAGATTGGAAAGATGGAAAGTACTGTCAGAGATTTTTATAACCCTGTTCTTCATTTGTTTCACCAGGTTTATTTTTATTTTAAGTTCATGGTAAGACCTGAAGTTCAGGAACCTTCCGGAAGAGATTGGTTTCCTGTACCAGTCTACCAGTAATAAATTGTCATTGGTACGAATCAATCTTGAATCCAAAAAGGGAAAAGATTGATGTCGGGTTCATGCACAACTTAACGTAACCGAATTTAAGGATCAGCTGTTTCTACACCAGTGTCCTCCACATGTTACGCCGCCAGAAGGTAACTAGTTGGTACCTAGCTAGTGATTTCCAGTGGTGGTCAAACGTTTTGGTGACGTCACACCCATTTTTTGACATGATTCGGGTGGTTTCGGAACTCGTCTTACCCTTGGATAGCCCTTTCCATACTGTTCTATGCTCATATTGACGTAATTATTATAATTCTGTGGTGTCTCGTGTTCCACGACGATTTACCGAGAAAGCCAGGCGGTGACTCATCTGTTGTTTTTGTTTGAGTTCTTGACGAATTTGCGGTAGAGATTTGTTTTGGTGTTCGTCTTCGGGTGTGTTTTTCTGCCTTGGACTTGTTTTTTGTGCGATTAATTGAGGATGGCCATGCCTAGAGCAAAAAAAACGAAAAGCCGCGCTGGTATCAGCTCCTGACCTTGTTGAAGAGGTACCTGCAGAAGGCACCTGAACGCAATCGGACATCGCCAGAGGAGCGCCTAATGATGACGTTGCACTAAGTATCCAAATCAGTTCATTTATCATATGACAAAATATATTGAGGTTATGGTCGTTTTCTTAATTTCAAGGTCACTTCTTAAAATAAAGTTCAATATGTTGAACTTTATCTTAAGAACCAACCAATCGGATTACTAGCGTTGGTCAGCTGATCGCTACAGCTGGAATTAGAAGATGGCTACGAGCCATCGATACTGTACAAAAGTCGATAGTCGATATTTATATCGTGATGCTTGATCGATTTTATATCGCTGTATGGGCAGATGGTTCGGTGATAGTTGTATGAAAAATTATTTGCACTTGCTTACGCATGACAGTTTAGAGCTGAACATCGGGGCGGACTGATAAAAAAAATCAGATGTATGTTAAAAATTATAATAATTAAAGACAGTGGCCATGTTTACTTCATAAATTAGATCAAAAAACAACATGAAAAAAATAAACATGGGTCCTAAATTGCCCCTTACCAAGATAGAGGATTTTGAAATTATATTCTAGAGAACGAAAAAAAAAAATGGAAATGATCTTAAAATGTTGTGCTTCATAGCTGATAGATGCAAACACTTTCATGTCGGAGACTGTACCAGTGGTGATGTTGGCAAATTATAGCCCCTACAGAAGAAAAAAGAGAATTTAAATCTATACCATGCCCCCCATGACATGTTTTTCCAAAACCTCACAGCATACTGTGAAGGTACTTTGTCATTAACTACAAACCTGGTGTACACCTGACGAATGCTGTGTATTCGCAGCCCACCAAATATGTAATCTCTTTTGACGTTTATTGAGGTAAACAGATTGAGTAGCACGTAACTTTTTTTGTGACATCTGTACTGTTGGTAATAACAAACCTGGTAAAGGGCCAAATTAAGGACTGGCGTTTGGTATCACCAATGAAATTTTTTTTTTAAACACAGAATTTTGGCAATCAAATGTATACTGCTAGATTGAGAATTTATACATATGTACAGAGCAGTATCATCTGAAGGGGTGTGGTGAGATGACTATGTTTCTGTTTAGTGTTTGCTGACCAAATATGACAGTGATATTATGCTAATAATTTTTTTTTGTTTCACAGTGTCAAAATCCTTCGAGGAGACAGTTGGAATGAAGATCGTCATTTATTTTATGGATACCAAATTAATTGTCAATGAGAGTTTGTTTCCTAGTTTGAAGAAACAATTACTGTTTTATGTGTTTTTTTTTTTTTGTTGAGGACAATTTTGTTTGCCTTTACCCATTAAACAGTGTGCGCAAAACTATTTTTGATTCACATATCAGAGTGATTATATTTGTATTCCAGTCAGTCCTCTACCTACAGATGTATTTTTTGTTATTTTAGTATTTATGTTTTCGCAATAAATATACGTGATCAATTAACAAGAGATAGTGCTTGCATGATATTGCACTGATCAGGTTCATAATATAGAGAAAAATCCAGATGAGTAGAATACCTCTATGTATGTACAATTTATTGTAATGAAGAATTTGTTCTATTATTGCTGTGACTGTTCAGTAAATATTTTTTTAATTATACATTTTTTTATTATCCTGAAATTCATTACTAGTCAAACTGATGAAAGAAATGCTCCCTTTATTGAGGATGTGTTATGCATCTATGATCATCGAACTGCCTCAATATCGGTCGTCAGTCAGATTTCGTAATGTAAACAAATGAAATCGCCGACACATTCCTGACATTCCTGATATGCGTTGTCGGCATACTTTCAATATTTATAGTTCCACCAGATTTCCAGCCAAGAAAAGTGGCGCTGCCGTCGAGGTTATAGTCCAAGAAATATCTTCACATCTGCTCAGGAAAATATTCGGATTCGGACTTTTTGCATGTTATTCGAAAAAACCTCCTAGTAACAAATCTACATGTTGTCAGGCTCCAAATTGCGTCTCTAATTGTTTGAACAACTTTTTCAAATAAATTACAAAAATTAATGTTTTCGCTTCATCAAAGCTAGCATTCGTTTTTTTGATACTCCGAAACAAAATGATGTTTGACAATGTTTGTCAAAAGTTGATTTTGTACGAGATGGGAAAGTACAAAAAATTGATTTTGCGATACCGAAAAACGATCTGAAAAAACGAAAATGTTAATGTCGCCATGCTTCATAAATAACCATTAACGATACCTTTTAGGAGATACTGTTATTATAAATCTTTGTATTTAATTGATATGCAAGCGGACGCTCAATGCATATTCAGCGTGCACGAGAGATATTTCATCTCTCTCGCGTTCACATAGACATAGACTATACATTGAGCGCGCATTCAAATGCTCTGGGGGTTTTGTTATTGGTTGGTTGAAGCATGTGTGAGATTTGGCAACATCAAAATATTCATTTTTCATATTGTTTTTAGGGTAGCAAATGACATATTTTGAGTTTTTACATTGCTTATACCTGTATATATCAAGTCTAGAGAAAAGTTCTAAAGCTCATTTTTTATTCAGAATGTCCTAAAAACCGCAAAATACTTTAAACAAAGCAAACAAATCAATTTTTGGAATCGGTTTAATTACAATTTTTGGAGCAATTTTGGGCCTAGTCACAAGCAGATTCTTTAAGAGGTCCTTGAATCAGATTATGCAAAAATAGGAATCGGAAGAGTTTTCCGAGCAGATGTTCCGATATTATCTGGACTATTATCCGAGTTCTGTGACGTGCATTGGCGCAAGCGTGTGGGGAGGGGCCACTTGTCAATGTTAAGGCTGGTCCGCCAGTCCACGTGACACATAAGCCACAAAACACTCTTTCATCTGCTACCTTGACGTTAAACATATGATTTTGTTAGTGTGTTTAATGTTGATATTGTCGCCATTGCTACATTGGCGATCCTGGCCGCGCATGCGCTTTAAATGCTCATTTTCTTAAGTTAAGTTACGTTAAATCGTGCATGAACCCACCTTGATTGTCATCTTATTTTTCGATGGTGAACTGGATGTAAGGATCATAACTGTTAAAAACCTCAACAATATCATCCACCCTATCATAAGGACAAACAAACGACAAAAAAAAAATAAAAAAAATGTTTACCTTGTTTTATAAAGTATCCTCCCGACAAGTATTTCAGTGCGGACCTGTATTTGATCGTGAGGTCCCCTGTGAGGTCTTAAGTCACCTGATTCACGAGCCCGTTGTACTACATTAACAAAGGCACGAGGGGTTGGTTGCACTCGATTGGGAAACCGATCCGCATAAACATGTGCCATTTTTTATTTCGTTTGAGCCACGCAACAGACACTATTCACACGCGACTGACACTGACTGTATGTATAACTGAACTGAATAAAATAATTGTAAAAAAATCGTTCCAAATTCTTTCGCTTTTTTGTTTCCGATGCGATGAACCGATAAGGTGGACTATATCCGTTGTTGCCAAACACGAGCACATGATATTATTATTGAGACAGGGCGGTACTCAAACTTCCAAAGGGCTATAACTTTGTTACTTTAATTTTACCAGAAAAATGGTAAAGGAAAAAAACATTTCTTTTGATCAGATCTACTCACTGTTAAAATAAATGACTCAACTTCGAAGTCACCCTGTATATATATATCATTTAAATCATTGATTCCCAAAGTGGTCTATATCGACCCCTAGGGGTCTATGACAACCTGCAAGGGGTCTACGAGAGCGAAAAAAAATTTGGGGGTCCATGAAATGAATATAGGGGTCCACGATAGTGGATCTCAACACATACACTGATAGTACCTATTTACTTACATCATACTATCTTATAATATCAAAACATATACATTATTTATAAAAGTACCTATGAAGTAAAAAATTTATTATATATGTTTATAAAATTGTGTAAGTTGTAGGATGTTGGTATTCGCTTTGTGGTCGCAATACATTTTGAACTTGTAAAAACCTGAGAGTCGCAGCCTCAGAGCTTCGCTACCTTGCACTGACTTGTCCAATTCGTCACTCTATAAATACGAATGTGGGACAAATACGTTTATTCGTTTCCTGAATCTTGAAAAGGAAAGTGCTAAGAAAATATTTTAAAAAATATAAACAGATAGTATATCACACAAATTATAGTGAGTCAGTGTTATTTTGTTTGAGAGTGCTGGAGAAAAGTAAGTACATTATTTTGTATTAAATTTTAGTTTTGTACTCGTAGTTAGCAAAGATAGATAAATTACGCCAATCATGACTTTAGTTATTAGTAGTTAAATATTCAATCATGCAAAATTACACGAGTACTCCTCAATAGTTTCTTTTTGAAAGTTTTAGCAATCGGTGATATAATTACAGTGCAATCTCCGTAATTCGAGCTAATTGTTGCAAGAAGATGTTCGAATTATGGAATGTTTTCGGAAAAATCAACAAATATTTTTAATATACAGCTGCTGGATTTTCTGTCTTATTTAAATAATTTAATTTTGCCCACAGATGACTGATGCCATGTCCGAATCTAAAAAGAAATGTAGACAGTACAGTGTTGATTATTTGAAATTTGGCTTCATTCCATCATTGCCGGACAAACAATCGCCTATGTGCCTTTTATGCAACAAAGTTTTGGGCAATGACGCTATGAAACCATCTAAACTGCAAGATCATCTGAGAAGATGCCACCCTGATAAAACAGAGAAAGATTTGAAATACTTTCAAACACTCAAAGATAAATTTCAGAAGAGACCTACACTGGACAGAATGTTCGCTTCGACGTCACAAAGCAATGATGGTTTGCGGGCGTCTTACAATATCTCGTTACTTATAGCAAAATCCGGAAAACCGCATACTATCGGAGAAAAGTTAATTTTTCCAGCCGTTGAAGAGATTTTAAAAACTGTTTTACACAAACCTGCATCTGATATCATTAAAAGAATTCTCTATACTACTACTATATATATTTCTCTATACAACTGGACGAGTCAACTTTACCTGATAATGCAGCATTATTATTGGCATATGTTCGTTTTATTATGAATAAAGAAATTTACGAAGAACTGCTCTTCGCAAGAACTTTGATAACCGATACTAAAGGTGAATCAATATTTCATGTTTTGAAGGATTACTTCATTGAAAAAACAATTCCTTTATCAAATGTAACATCAGTAGCTACAGATGGAGCACCTGCCATGGTTGGACGTTATCGTGGATTTATAAGCTATTTAACACAAAATGTGTCAGGGGTGTTAGCAATACATTGCGTCATCCATCGACAACATTTAGTTGCTAAGAATTTGAGTGTTAGATTGCATGAATCACTTCATTTAGTCATTGATGCAGTAAACCAAATCCGAAGCAACGCGTTGAATATGCGGTTATTTGCGCAGTTGTGTGAAGAAAATGAACACTTTCATCAATTACTCCTTCACACTGAAGTACGCTGGCTGTTGAAAGGCTTATGTTTGACAAGATTTTTTGCACTTTTTGAGACTATTTTAGAATTTCTGGATACTACAGATAAAATTTTAAAAGAAAATTTAATGAAGAGGAAAACAGACATCGCCTATTTAACAGATTTGTTTACAAAATTTAATATGGTTAATTTGCAATTACAAGGCGACAGTTTAAATTTGATTAAAACAAAGTCCATCTTATCAGCGTTTCTTGCCAGAGTTAAACTAATGAAGCAAAATATTGGACGGGGCGAATTTTCTCAGTTCCCCAATTTGTCACAGACAAGCTGCCAGGAAGACGACGTTTCAACTTACGTTCAACATTTAAATGCCCTCTATTCAGATTTTGAATCTAGGTTTGAGGATATTTTGACTATGGTAATACCACCGTGGATAATTAATCCATATGGTGACATAGAAGAAACGAATGTCATAATACAAGAGGAACTGTCTGAACTAAGTACAAACGAAGAACTTAAGGTTCAGTTTAAAAACGGATATCAGCAATCCTGGCTGCAAAACAACATACCCGTTACTTATCCCGTATCATGGAATATAGCGAAGAAATTTTTAATTTCCTTTCCATCGTCATACCTAGTGGAAAGGGGGTTCAGCGCTGTGCGAAAAAAAGAAACAGACTTTACATTTTTAGCCGAGGAGATTTAAGATTAACCCTTACAAAATTGACGCCAAATGTTGATAATTTATTATTAAAGCATCAGGTTCATCCTTCTCACTAAAAATATTGACTTATTGCTTATGTTATTTTATTTATAGGCTATTTTATGTTTATTGGTGTCTGACCAATAAATGACCGCATTGCGAATAAGTGCCCGCATTGATTTTTTAAAGAACCCCCCTTTATAGAAAATATTTTTTTTTAATTATTCTGGGAATTCAAGGATAGGTACACACTAACATTCGTTAATTTTTTGCCTATTTTTAGATAACTTAAACGTATAAGAAGCGGAATTTAATCAAACTAACAGTGAAATTATTGTAGAACATACGTTTATGTTATAATTAATAAACGAACTCGCTTATTGTACTATTTTAAGTAAAACACTTTTTTTTTCATTATTTTTCACTTTTTTTTATTTTGTCCCTCTTATTTTTTTTCAATGCGGGCACTTATTCCCAATACGGGCACTTATTGGTCAGACACCTGTTTATTTAATGTTACGTATATTTTAATAACAGATACAAAATTTTATTTTGAGTAGTTTTAATTTAAATTCAATTAATAAATGTATAAATTAACATGTGTTTTTACTTTAAGTTTTTAACACTAAACTTCACTACAGTTAGAAATTTACAGGAAATCAATATCAGGTAAGTGGGGGTCTACCCAACACGGAAAAACATGGCAAGGGGTCTACGACACAAAAAAAGTTTGGGGAACTCTGATTTAAATAAATAATATACAAAGTACTCACGTGGAAACAGGTTTGAAGAAGTTAATTAAAAAAATTAACAGCATATTCGACAAGCAACTATGTTGCCATAATTTGTGAAAATATTTTTTGATTATAGAAACGTATTTGAGTCTCAACTAATATGATAAAGGTAATTAATGTAAAAACTTAACAATCCATCGTATGTACAAATATTATGTATAAAAGTTAAGTTACTTTGGAATAAAACTAACAAACTATAAATATGGTATACCACCATCTGAGAACAAACTTCCTTGATATAATAACTAATAACCATGTGTTTGTCACTCCTGTTACCATCAGATTATGTGAGCCGTTAAACGCCGGAATGGTCCAAGTCCAAAATTTAAGGGTTGCTGGTGAATACTGTTCTGGATGAAGCAATCGTTGTCTGGGAGAGTTTTTAAGAATGTATCTTTAAAGTTTTGCACACATATGGCACCAGTTTGTTTGTATATGTTAATGAAAATCTGTAACCGTTATAAGGCATATTGTTTGTATTCCGAAGGCGATTCAACCGTTAGAAGTTTCTTGGTTTAAGATGAGTTTAAGCGACTCTGAAAAGGAACCATTCAGTGCCAGCGAAAGCGGGTACGAACCAGAAAATTCTGAGCTGTTTGGATCATCATCATCAGGTAAGGATTTAGGTGCTTTCGTTGAAAATTGAGAACGTAACATAACCGCACTTTTATATAGTTCTTGCCAGCGGGAATCCCGCAAATCTACGCGACTGTGACGAAAGCGCTTTACAGAGCCAGGTAGACATCTCAAGTCTATCCGAAGATGCAAGAGGCAGTACTCTAACCGAATGAATGAAGAACGGACGAAGTGTATCTTTAAAAGGCATATACCCGCAAATAAAACTCCAGGAGAAAATATACAATCAGTTCACGACCACATCAACTGCTTTCCCGCATATTAGTCTCACTAGACGAGAAGCCACGACCCAACTAGAATAATTGGATTCAAAATTGAACTTGGGGCTTATTTACAAAGATGAGCCATCCAACTTGCACATACCTCTTGCATCTTCTGGCCTCCAAAAATACCGAATTGCACCGTTGTATTAGCACGGAAGACGGTCTAAAAAGCATGATTGATACTGGAAGGTAATGTCCGAGCAATAAATTATAGATGAAAGGTACCGCATTCTATAGAGGCGCGTGGCTTGGTTGTCTCCAGTGGCGGTGGGCTATTGCTGTTGATCAGGAGTAGGCTTAATTAAATTCCTAATATGGTGTGATTTTCAAAGCAGATTACGTCTTTATTTGTAATATATCTCCAGGCTTTTGAATAGCAAAATATTTCTTTCAAATTTCAATATGAAGCATGTTGTTGCTTAATTCCGATATGATAGGTTGGATGTTTGGTATTGAATAGACAAGCCGTAAGTGCTAGGCTACCGAACATAGTTACTTTTAGAAACTGAACATTCTCATCTAAAACATAAATATGAAAAAAGTTTAGTTTACGAAATTAGCGCTGGCTATTTATCCTTCTTGCAACTAATTTCATTAGCTCTGAAAAGTATTTCACCAGTATTTACTTTAACCACTTTCTGTGTCTATACAAAACTGCATTCTGGTCTACATGCTTCTTACTTTGCAGACATACTGGTAGGTTCAGCCACTTTAGACAGAAAGCAAATATATAGAATTTTTGCTTTTCTAGAAATCCTCCCAATGCTAATACAACCAATTATGATTAGTTATGATTTGTTAATTTCATTCATCTGTGACTTCTTAGTTTAGTCCGATGACGGAAATTTGAAATGTGCCCATAAAAATGATTTGTAGGAGCCACTGTTGTGTTTGATTTCGAGATAGTAATTGTTTCCTGTAGATTGAGATATTGCTCAACCAGTGGTGTTATCCAGGAAAAGATCTGGGGGGAGGCTCAAGATCCAGGGTGACACGAAAATTCCGTCTCGGGGCGGGGAGGGGTGTCTTGGAGATATAAAATTGCATAGCAGAGGGGGGGACTCGCTTACTCCAGGTAGCTACACTTCACAGAAGGAATAACATGCTGTAATATGTAGAAGAAGCGTAATGAGCTGTTGCGCTTCGGGAGGGTAGACTTCGAGGAGCCCCAAAGCCCTCCCATGAATACGCCGATGTGCCCACACCAGAATAGGAACAGAGGCGAGGGGTATGTGGGCCTAGCTCAAAGAGTTCCGCGCTTCTTTCTAATATCATTGGGATTGCACCCAGCCAGCGGCGGCGATGAAGTAAATAAGAAATGAATAAGTAGTCTACTTTTGTGGTTTCTTTAGCATCACCCGAAACTGTAAAAACATATATGAAAAATTCTTGAGGTTTCGTTCTCAGTTTCCCTCATTGATTTATTACTTGTTTGTATTTTAAAGGATATTATTTTTATTTTAATTGCATGGAATTGACTGTTTTATTTTATTATTTTATTATATATTATATATGAGGCCCTTATTTGCAAAACTTGCTATTTGCTCGAAAGAGAATTTTTGAGAAATCGAAAAAAACGATCAAAGGTCGAGTCGTGTTTACTGGCAATGTGGAGAATTTTATGAATATTGCTTAGAGTTTTTAGGAATGGAAATTAGGGGTTTCTAGCCTAAAATATTTACAGATTTTTAGAAAAAAAATAATGTTTACTGCAAATAACCAGTTTTGCAAATAAATATCTAAATAAATTAGTTCAATAACAAACGTAAGGAATTTTATTCATGAAAATGAAACTGCAACATTTTAATAATATGAATAAAATGTGTAAGCGTCAAAAAAAAGCCTCATGCTCAAATGAAAAAACAGTCATTCTCGGCATTTTGGCAATTTTCCAAACTATCAACGGTTTCTTCTGGTGAGGCAGAAGCTGTCTTCAAGTATTCTTTGTAAAAATTCAGTTCAGGAAGGCTTCTCCAATTTGCTCCGTAGTGGTTGGAAAGGAGAACATTGATAGTTGATTTATCCCCCTTTATTCCTTTTCCCAGTGGTAATTTCTCAGGAGCCATTGAAGGAATGGAACATTTTTTTTTACAAATGCTTTTAGCTTGTCCAACGTCACTGCAGTAATTGGGCTCACCTTCAACTAGAACATTTTTGTCTTTTCTGTAGAAAATAAACCACTTTGCCTTATTGAATTCAAAGTGCCATGAACTAGGCAGCTTAATAACTCGTTTTGCTTGTGTTCTCCAATCAAACACATCCCAATCGATACCGATTTTCCGTATAGTAGAATGCTTTCTAATTAAATCATCGTAGTCACTAATTTCCACGATAACAGGCATTTTTTTAATGTCTTTTTCTATAAGGCCGAAAATGCGATCAGGCGGAATAAAGGAATGACCGACGATCGGAAAAATCAATTCAATTTGTGTAATATGTTTCGGCGATTCTTCTAGGAGCCAGTAAGCCAACATTGCCATCATATTCGTATTTTTGTTTTGTCCGCCGCAACCATCAGCGAACAAACGTACTGTTTCTTTGCTGGGATCAAAATCAAAATTCTTTAGAGCATGTTGCAAAGCTGATGCTATTGTATTAGAATCTTTGCGGGCGTCAATTTCTGTCCACAAGTAAGAAAACATATTTTTTGGTCTTAATTTATCTGTAGAAGTTCCAGCGACAACTGTAAAATTATTATAGTTGATTTGATGGCTGAAATATGCTGCTTGATCAGGCAGTCTAGGCAGTGCTAAGTTTTTCTGGCAGTCGAATGAAAAGTAAGTTGTGTTTGGTTTTTGATTTTTAAGGAGTTTGAAAAAGCCTTTGCTTTTGCGATATGAACACGATGCTCAGTGACTAACTTTTGACGAACATCTAAAGTTGCTACTTTCAACTGCTCCTTTGTTCTCAAGCAAGTGGAGCAACAGTCAGTCAACGGAGTTCCAAAAGCGATGTTGTAGTTAGCATTCACAAACTTTCGAAAATAACTAAGCTTCACATGCATAGGCTGAGGCACTCTCCGAAGATAATGGTCGAAAAGTTTCTTGAAATTCAAGTCACATGGCAGGTAGACCCTCACGCTTGTCTTGCTTCTACAGTAATGAGACTCGGTACATGTAATGGATTCTATAAATCTTTTGATGCAGTTTCTTGTTTCGTCATTTTTTGGACCCACTCTATTGCCACCTCTACGTTCCCTGGGTAGCTCCCCTGTGACAACAAAATTTCTTACAATTCTTTGTATGCGGTCCTTGCTTAAATTTGTGATTCCGAGAAATGATTTGGCACATACTCTAATCAACTCGCCCTCACTCAAACGTACATGGTATTTTATCGACGCTGCAGCATGATTAGATTTTCCTCTTTTCGGACGTTGTCCCTTACAACAAGCCAATATTAGAAGGTCTTGTTTAATTTTATCTTTTGACTGATAAAGGTAGGCATGGAAATCTTTAATCTGCTTCATTGTGAGTGTGGTACAATAATAGGGCAATCCAGGTCGTCCATTATGACCACAAGTTGGAATGGTCGGCAGCGCTTTTGGTATATATCTGTAACAATACAACACAGGACTAGTAAACTTTGTCTGTAGGCCTACTCAACGTAAAGACATCGCGAAAAACAAGTGAAACTGCATAAAAAGCTTGAATTGTCGCATAAGTCTAAAATCATAAGTTTAAGATGAAGCACTTACCTAGCAAGTTTATCAACATTCCTTTTATGTGTTTCTGGTTGAAGAAGTTTTTTGCGACCTTTTCCCTGTGGACTAGGTTTAACAGGAAAAACATTTTCACCTACTAACTCCATAAAAATAAACAATTGTTCCTAATTCGTGAAATGTTTAGTCGCTTGAATACAAACTACTGAAAATCCGTTACTTGTGAACAGCTGTTGTAATAGCGTGTTCGTCACGTGAGTCAACGGGCAAATTTTATTGGTGGCAGAGCAAGCAGCGAGTTTTGCAAGTAAAACGTCAAAGCAAAGAGCAAGTTCTGCATATAACTGTATTTTTCTCGACAGCAAAAAAATTAACAGCATATTCGACAAGCAACTATGTTGCCATAATTTGTGAAAATATTTTTTGATTATAGAAACGTATTTGAGTCTCAACTAATATGATAAAGGTAATTAATGTAAAAACTTAACAATCCATCGTATGTACAAATATTATGTATAAAAGTTAAGTTACTTTGGAATAAAACTAACAAACTATAAATATGGTATACCACCATCTGAGAACAAACTTCCTTGATATAATAACTAATAACCATGCGTTTGTCACTCCTGTTACCATCAGATTATGTGAGCCGTTAAACGCCGGAATGGTCCAAGTCCAAAATTTAAGGGTTGCTGGTGAATACTGTTCTGGATGAAGCAATCGTTGTCTGGGAGAGTTTTTAAGAATGTATCTTTAAAGTTTTGCACACATATGGCACCAGTTTGTTTGTATATGTTAATGAAAATCTGTAACCGTTATAAGGCATATTGTTTGTATTCCGAAGGCGATTCAACCGTTAGAAGTTTCTTGGTTTAAGATGAGTTTAAGCGACTCTGAAAAGGAACCATTCAGTGCCAGCGAAAGCGGGTACGAACCAGAAAATTCTGAGCTGTTTGGATCATCATCATCAGGTAAGGATTTAGGTGCTTTCGTTGAAAATTGAGAACGTAACATAACCGCACTTTTATATAGTTCTTGCCAGCGGGAATCCCGCAAATCTACGCGACTGTGACGAAAGCGCTTTACAGAGCCAGGTAGACATCTCAAGTCTATCCGAAGATGCAAGAGGCAGTACTCTAACCGAATGAATGAAGAACGGACGAAGTGTATCTTTAAAAGGCATATACCCGCAAATAAAACTCCAGGAGAAAATATACAATCAGTTCACGACCACATCAACTGCTTTCCCGCATATTAGTCTCACTAGACGAGAAGCCACGACCCAACTAGAATAATTGGATTCAAAATTGAACTTGGGGCTTATTTACAAAGATGAGCCATCCAACTTGCACATACCTCTTGCATCTTCTGGCCTCCAAAAATACCGAATTGCACCGTTGTATTAGCACGGAAGACGGTCTAAAAAGCATGATTGATACTGGAAGGTAATGTCCGAGCAATAAATTATAGATGAAAGGTACCGCATTCTATAGAGGCGCGTGGCTTGGTTGTCTCCAGTGGCGGTGGGCTATTGCTGTTGATCAGGAGTAGGCTTAATTAAATTCCTAATATGGTGTGATTTTCAAAGCAGATTACGTCTTTATTTGTAATATATCTCCAGGCTTTTGAATAGCAAAATATTTCTTTCAAATTTCAATATGAAGCATGTTGTTGCTTAATTCCGATATGATAGGTTGGATGTTTGGTATTGAATAGACAAGCCGTAAGTGCTAGGCTACCGAACATAGTTACTTTTAGAAACTGAACATTCTCATCTAAAACATAAATATGAAAAAAGTTTAGTTTACGAAATTAGCGCTGGCTATTTATCCTTCTTGCAACTAATTTCATTAGCTCTGAAAAGTATTTCACCAGTATTTACTTTAACCACTTTCTGTGTCTATACAAAACTGCATTCTGGTCTACATGCTTCTTACTTTGCAGACATACTGGTAGGTTCAGCCACTTTAGACAGAAAGCAAATATATAGAATTTTTGCTTTTCTAGAAATCCTCCCAATGCTAATACAACCAATTATGATTAGTTATGATTTGTTAATTTCATTCATCTGTGACTTCTTAGTTTAGTCCGATGACGGAAATTTGAAATGAGCCCATAAAAATGATTTGTAGGAGCCACTGTTGTGTTTGATTTCGAGATAGTAATTGTTTCCTGTAGATTGAGATATTGCTCAACCAGTGGTGTTATCCAGGAAAAGATCTGGGGGGAGGCTCAAGATCCAGGGTGACACGAAAATTCCGTCTCGGGGCGGGGAGGGGTGTCTTGGAGATATAAAATTGCATAGCAGAGGGGGGGGACTCGCTTACTCCAGGTAGCTACACTTCACAGAAGGAATAACATGCTGTAATATGTAGAAGAAGCGTAATGAGCTGTTGCGCTTCGGGAGGGTAGACTTCGAGGAGCCCCAAAGCCCTCCCATGAATACGCCGATGTGCCCACACCAGAATAGGAACAGAGGCGAGGGGTATGTGGGCCTAGCTCAAAGAGTTCCGCGCTTCTTTCTAATATCATTGGGATTGCACCCAGCCAGCGGCGGCGATGAAGTAAATAAGAAATGAATAAGTAGTCTACTTTTGTGGTTTCTTTAGCATCACCCGAAACTGTAAAAACATATATGAAAAATTCTTGAGGTTTCGTTCTCAGTTTCCCTCATTGATTTATTACTTGTTTGTATTTTAAAGGATATTATTTTTATTTTAATTGCATGGAATTGACTGTTTTATTTTATTATTTTATTATATATTATATATGAGGCCCTTATTTGCAAAACTTGCTATTTGCTCGAAAGAGAATTTTTGAGAAATCGAAAAAAACGATCAAAGGTCGAGTCGTGTTTACTGGCAATGTGGAGAATTTTATGAATATTGCTTAGAGTTTTTAGGAATGGAAATTAGGGGTTTCTAGCCTAAAATATTTACAGATTTTTAGAAAAAAAATAATGTTTACTGCAAATAACCAGTTTTGCAAATAAATATCTAAATAAATTAGTTCAATAACAAACGTAAGGAATTTTATTCATGAAAATGAAACTGCAACATTTTAATAATATGAATAAAATGTGTAAGCGTCAAAAAAAAGCCTCATGCTCAAATGAAAAAACAGTCATTCTCGGCATTTTGGCAATTTTCCAAACTATCAACGGTTTCTTCTGGTGAGGCAGAAGCTGTCTTCAAGTATTCTTTGTAAAAATTCAGTTCAGGAAGGCTTCTCCAATTTGCTCCGTAGTGGTTGGAAAGGAGAACATTGATAGTTGATTTATCCCCCTTTATTCCTTTTCCCAGTGGTAATTTCTCAGGAGCCATTGAAGGAATGGAACATTTTTTTTTACAAATGCTTTTAGCTTGTCCAACGTCACTGCAGTAATTGGGCTCACCTTCAACTAGAACATTTTTGTCTTTTCTGTAGAAAATAAACCACTTTGCCTTATTGAATTCAAAGTGCCATGAACTAGGCAGCTTAATAACTCGTTTTGCTTGTGTTCTCCAATCAAACACATCCCAATCGATACCGATTTTCCGTATAGTAGAATGCTTTCTAATTAAATCATCGTAGTCACTAATTTCCACGATAACAGGCATTTTTTTAATGTCTTTTTCTATAAGGCCGAAAATGCGATCAGGCGGAATAAAGGAATGACCGACGATCGGAAAAATCAATTCAATTTGTGTAATATGTTTCGGCGATTCTTCTAGGAGCCAGTAAGCCAACATTGCCATCATATTCGTATTTTTGTTTTGTCCGCCGCAACCATCAGCGAACAAACGTACTGTTTCTTTGCTGGGATCAAAATCAAAATTCTTTAGAGCATGTTGCAAAGCTGATGCTATTGTATTAGAATCTTTGCGGGCGTCAATTTCTGTCCACAAGTAAGAAAACATATTTTTTGGTCTTAATTTATCTGTAGAAGTTCCAGCGACAACTGTAAAATTATTATAGTTGATTTGATGGCTGAAATATGCTGCTTGATCAGGCAGTCTAGGCAGTGCTAAGTTTTTCTGGCAGTCGAATGAAAAGTAAGTTGTGTTTGGTTTTTGATTTTTAAGGAGTTTGAAAAAGCCTTTGCTTTTGCGATATGAACACGATGCTCAGTGACTAACTTTTGACGAACATCTAAAGTTGCTACTTTCAACTGCTCCTTTGTTCTCAAGCAAGTGGAGCAACAGTCAGTCAACGGAGTTCCAAAAGCGATGTTGTAGTTAGCATTCACAAACTTTCGAAAATAACTAAGCTTCACATGCATAGGCTGAGGCACTCTCCGAAGATAATGGTCGAAAAGTTTCTTGAAATTCAAGTCACATGGCAGGTAGACCCTCACGCTTGTCTTGCTTCTACAGTAATGAGACTCGGTACATGTAATGGATTCTATAAATCTTTTGATGCAGTTTCTTGTTTCGTCATTTTTTGGACCCACTCTATTGCCACCTCTACGTTCCCTGGGTAGCTCCCCTGTGACAACAAAATTTCTTACAATTCTTTGTATGCGGTCCTTGCTTAAATTTGTGATTCCGAGAAATGATTTGGCACATACTCTAATCAACTCGCCCTCACTCAAACGTACATGGTATTTTATCGACGCTGCAGCATGATTAGATTTTCCTCTTTTCGGACGTTGTCCCTTACAACAAGCCAATATTAGAAGGTCTTGTTTAATTTTATCTTTTGACTGATAAAGGTAGGCATGGAAATCTTTAATCTGCTTCATTGTGAGTGTGGTACAATAATAGGGCAATCCAGGTCGTCCATTATGACCACAAGTTGGAATGGTCGGCAGCGCTTTTGGTATATATCTGTAACAATACAACACAGGACTAGTAAACTTTGTCTGTAGGCCTACTCAACGTAAAGACATCGCGAAAAACAAGTGAAACTGCATAAAAAGCTTGAATTGTCGCATAAGTCTAAAATCATAAGTTTAAGATGAAGCACTTACCTAGCAAGTTTATCAACATTCCTTTTATGTGTTTCTGGTTGAAGAAGTTTTTTGCGACCTTTTCCCTGTGGACTAGGTTTAACAGGAAAAACATTTTCACCTACTAACTCCATAAAAATAAACAATTGTTCCTAATTCGTGAAATGTTTAGTCGCTTGAATACAAACTACTGAAAATCCGTTACTTGTGAACAGCTGTTGTAATAGCGTGTTCGTCACGTGAGTCAACGGGCAAATTTTATTGGTGGCAGAGCAAGCAGCGAGTTTTGCAAGTAAAACGTCAAAGCAAAGAGCAAGTTCTGCATATAACTGTATTTTTCTCGACAGCATTTACATGCTAAAGAGAGCGTTTTGGGAAATTCTGATTTCATCATTCGATTCCTCTTTAAAATTGGAATGCACTTAGCAAAAAAAAGAAATTTCTAAGATTTTGTCGATTAGCAAGTTTTGCGAATAATGGCCTCATATACTCCATAATCATTTGAATTTTTATTGAACCACTCACTGCGTTATTATAACAATGAGCTGATGGATTATAATTTATTGTTTGCGCAACATACGTTTTTGGCTTGAATGCCAAATATTTGACCTATCATAGAAAAGTAAATTCATCTGACAATCTCTGTTTGGGGACCAGTTATTAAACAGACCTTCGGTAATGAGTAATCAGGGGAGCAGAAACACTTCGTTCTGCGACCTGTCTTTATATGTAGAGCGTCCCTCTTTTTTCCTGTATAATTTATTGCCAGCTTATTTCTTTCATCTCCTTTACCGCCGTCTGAGCAAAAGCTAAACATACACGGTAATGTTTTCCGAAAGGACATGCGATAAACAGGTTACAATAAAAATAAGAATTTTGAGCCTAGCAACTAGAATTCTTAGAGAAATTTTACATGGAGTACCCTTCAAAACACTTTAAGGAGTGTGTATATTTCATATTTTCAAGTGTTGTATTCTGAAGATTTAAAAATAGGAAAATTGATATATCATTACATATCTTAAAAATCGCGGCAAATCCTTCCACTCAAATCTGCCGTTGGTAATAAAGGAATCATCAACTTGAGCATTTTATAGACCAATTGCGTATGAGTGAAAGACGAAAGGTAAGAAATCAAAGGCACTGGCTGTAATGAAGATTCTCAAACGCTGGGAGATTTTAGGTACGGATTCGCGTCGTGTATCGGCGGAGTGTGGGTAGAGACTGTTCACCAAAATATTCCTACAGATCATATTCTGGCGGAATCATGCAGATTATTAGCGTGTATGTCCAGCTTTATATCCACCCTTCAACTGGATAGATACACCCACACACATGTAGGTATACAATAGGTTTTTTTGTTTATGATTTACTGTCTGGAGTCGACCAAGATATCCAAATAAAGGGAAGAAAGGTTACAGGCGGATGGTTCACCTGAATGGGTTCCCTACTTTTAATTTTATTGATTTCAACAGAGTACTGCGTAGTTTGGCATGTTATAGAGTAATTGAGTTTATACAGGGTAATACATATTATTATTTTTTCTGTCTAGACGAAATAAAAAATAGAGTGCTATAGCGTTCCACCCATTGGCGATAACCCACATGTCGTTCTGGTTTCCTTGGCATTGTGCAATATCAGTAACTACTATACTGATTCTAACAGAGGTTGGAATGGATTATTGTTCGGTCACAAATTTGAAAATGAGTGTAAGAGCGCTAAACTTAGTAACCAGAAAAGAAAGCAGATTTTCTAAACTGTGTGCTTACATCCTAAAAGCTTTTTCAGTGTAGATGAAAACAATCACTTTGTTTTTTGAATGTTCGTATTTATTTTTCAGCGAACATGAATAATGTAGACTGAAGAGTATAAAATTAAATAAGGAAATGGAACATCACATCTATTTTCTCGCAATATACTTGAACGATCTACTTTGGAAATGTTTGGCAATAATCATTGACGTAGAATGCAAAACTAAATAACAAATTTGTATCGTATTTTCTTCTTTTTGGTACTACCCAGTCATGAATCACAAAAGTCTAGTTGTTCGATAAAAAGAGTTCCAGCACGATGTAAGTTAAAACTAACAACTTTTTAGGAGAGCATAAAAAAACGGTGGGCCTTTGGAGTCGCTATCGAATGATCTTATAATCCTCCATGTTTGTCTAGTCGCAAATGAAACCTCATAAGCTAATAGTGCCTACTGATGACATTCCGGCAATCACGGTGGCTTTTTTAAGCAAATACATAAGTTATTCTTTGCGTTTAGTGGTGTTACAACTTAAGCGACGATGTCTCAAATTCCAAATATGTTAGAATAACAATAGTCGCCTTTACATCATTAGCGGAGCATCGAAATATTAGCACCCCACTTCCTGCTAGTTTCGCAACACATAAAACAATCCAGTGTTCTGCGGTCAACTACCTTCAGGTGACCTTCATTCCTGGATGTTTATCTTCCTCCTGACTAGCTGCTATATCACAGACATCACAGTTTAACTGCATGTAGGATTTGGTATACCACAAAGTAATTTCAGACACCTCGCCAAAAACTGTTTTAACTGCGGAGTGACGCTACTCTTCTATAATCCATATCATTTCGCCACTACTTGCTTAACCACCTTAGGCGCTAATGCGACGTTGCAGTTCAGTATTTTGGGAGGCCAGAAGATGAAGGAGGTATGTGCAGCTTCGATTGCAGATTTTTGTACAACCTATACAAAGAACTGTATAATGGTGATAATATAGTATCTAAGGCAACCTACAGGGATGTATTTCACCATGATCATGAAAAGATTACGTTAAACCAAGAGCATATACGTTGCACTTACGCAAAGCTGAGAAGGCAAAGCAACGTCTGGCTAACGATAGATTGGCGTGTATCCTAGATAAAGGTCTATGGAATTACCTTTGATTTGGAGGAAGCTTTACCATTTCCAACACTAGGATGCTGCTTGGCAAATTACAAAAGGAATATGTTCGGGTATAACCTTGGAATAGATTAACTTGGAGAAGATGAAGCTTTCACGTATGTCTGAAATAAGATGACAACATCACGGGGCGCACAGGAAATATGGTCATGTATACGGAGGCACATTTCTGTCCATGCTGAAGGAGCTATTCAAATAGTTGCTTACATGCCTGCGGTGGTCAAAAACGTAATTTGAAGTAATGCCTTTTTTAGCTCAAACTCTCTTAGCCGATACAGGAGGTTTGGAAGACTATTGGTCACAAATTCATGGTTTCTGACCATTCTTTCGTTCCTGATGACCGCAATTTTGGTCTCATAGAACAGCATGCAAAAAAGCATCAAGTATGTGCCATAAGACTGGTACTCAACAATAAAAAAAGCAGATCCAGGAAACCCTTTTACGTCTACGAAATGCAAAGGACTGATTTCTCCTTATCAAGAACCTTAGAGGAATCTGTAAGAAGACGAAAAAAAATTATAATAACGTCTCTGTACCATCAGTCCGTAACCAATGGCTTCACGTTGAGAAGAAAGAACCTTACAAAATTTTATACAAATCCTTGAATGAAGATTTCCCATTTGACGTTATCAAATTGCATCAATATCGAAAAGGTGCACCAAAAACTTCAAAAATATAAACTTACCTCTCTCATATGACTTCCCCCGCCCTGTAAATGACAAGATAAGAAAGAAACATGGAGGAATTTCTCCCATTTATACCTCCACTAGATCGCTGTTTTTTCAAAGAGCTAAGTACCGATGCAAGTTTTGAAGATATTGGACCACACTCTGCTAATGAAGAAGAAGAAAAAGCCTAGTGAATTTTGAGAAATTCCATTAAGGCGTCATGTCAGTTGATAGACCTTTAGTTTTTTTTTGTGTGAAACAGGTACGTTTATTATTACTTTATTGTATAATGATTTATTTTGTCGTTTTATAATATCGTCAATGAACATACTATTGTGCAACTCGTTTTTTAAGTAATACATGAAACCAAACATAAAAACTGTTTTAAGGCAAAGTGAGCTAAAACTTAAACACAAGAAAAAAAAGATGCATGAGCATAACATTTTCCTGTATTTTACGGTTAGATACTCAAATTGATACTTCCTTTAATGGTATTTTGATTTATCGCTGCAGTTTTGTTATTCTAGATTTATCAGCAGCATCTAAACTTTAGTACCTTATATCTCGGAAACGTTTCTTTTTTTTTTACTTGGACCATCCTACCCTTCAACGGCTCTTTTGGATCAAGAACGTCTGAAATATTAAGATCTTTCCAGTATTTCTAGAATCGGATCATTTTAAACGAAAATATAGGAATTGTCTGAGGGTAGTACAGCTGTGGTGACAAAGTGCTCATTTAGGATAGTTTATCACAAAAATAAAAGTATCAATATACTTATTATAAGGTACTTCATAGATGCAGTTAAATCACTAATTTGAGAATGTTATCAATTTAAAAGGTACAAGCCTCAATATTAAGAAATTCAATGTTACAGTTAAAATATAAAAGACATTTGTGCTATATATTGCCAGGTCAAATAAGTATAAAAATAAACCTAAAAATGTGCTTAGATAGGGAGGTAATAGCCTTTATAAGGCAACTGATTATAAAAATTTACGATCGGTTTAAAAAGTACATTGTCTGTTTAATATGTACATAAACAGACTACATATCGCCTAATGCTTTATTTGTAATATTATGCCGTATTTATATTTTGTAGAATTGATATTTGTGTAATCCGACAAATCCTTATTTTTACATACTACGAGAATACTGAGCCTTCCCCACCTAAGAACATTCCTAATACTCTTCATATGCCAACTAGGTAACTACGTTTTATCACAAGTATTTTGAGCAATGCCATTACTACTACTATCATGCTGCTCACCAGCTGACTTCTCTTTTTCACCTGTTATAACAGATACGAAATGTTTGACATCTTTCAGCTCCTTATCCTCTTCGTTTGCAGCTCTGATCTACGGAAAGATACAACATTTACCTATTGTTACATGACAACACATAGTCAAACTGCTTGACATAATTTTTCGAAAACACAATATAAACCTAACATCCTATTGCTTTATGCTTATACAAATATTTATGACAATATTTTATTCTTATATAGGGTGGGCCAACGAAAAGCTCGCACCCTCGTTTGTGACTCTCCTGGTATATTTTGGGAAAAACGGTCGGACACGCCAATTTTGATTTCTAGGGGGCGTCTTATCATCTATAGCCGTACACTACAGGGTGGTCCAAAAATACGATATTGGGTTACATTTCAGATTTTTAAATGGAAACCCCCATTTTTTTGTTTTTTAGATTTTCCATGAAGTTTTTAGTAAGTTTTGTATAATAAAGTTTATACCTATCTTCAATCGTTGTGAAGATTTTTGAGTTTATAATAAAATTGACTAACTTAATAGTGATAGTAACGGAATGCATGGCAAAAAGTAATAATCATGGATACCAACTACTGCCCGGTTGTATAATGATTTACATCCAGACAAAAATATTAACGATAAGTATTTGGCTAAGTTGATAAGAAAATTTTAAGAAACTACACCTGTGTCTAATATTAGCCATAATCGCCATCGAGAGAAAATCGACAAGTTCTTCAGGATTTACACGCTCAACAGAAGAAAGAATTTTGAAAGACAATAAATTTCACTCGTACAAGATAAAACTTGCACATGAGCTTAATGAAGACGATTTTGCTAGCAGGCTGGAGTTTTGCGAATCAATATCCCAACGTTTAATCAAGAATGCAAATCTGTTATTTAATTGTTTCTCGAATGCTGTAAATAGACATAATTGTCGATATTGGAGTGACTCGAATCCACATTACTTTCAAGAGGTACACTACACCATCCTGAAAAAATAAATTCCTGGGCCGGCATTTTCGGAAATCATATTGTAGAACCTTTTTTTATTCCTGGAAACTTGTCGGGCGAGGCGTACTTGGGACTTGTTAGAAAATACAATAGAGCCACGAATTACCGAAAGAATAGAAAATGACGTAAATTATAATGAAAATTACATTCGTTTCCTACAAGATGGTGCACCGCCGCACTATGTGGTTCCAGTATGACAGTTTTTGGACACCCATTTTCCGAATCAGTGGATCGGCGGACAAGACCCCATCGAGTGGCCACCGAGATTTTCAGACCTAAGTCTTTTATATTACTTTCTTTGTGGGCATTTGAAAAGTAAAATTTTTAGATTGTGGCTGAATGTAGACAAATAACCCAAGACATGCTTGAAAATGTGAGGAATAGATTCGAACAAAATATTTGTGCTACTACAGCTACAAAGATCTGAATCCACAAATTAAATTTATGGCGCTTGCTACACTATCTTCCATTAACACTCAGACTATATCGTAATATATTCTGTGCTGTGCATAATATTTGTTGTGAATCATACTAATCATTCTGTTGATGTTAAATAAACGCTCATGAAATTAACTTTTTAGGGGGGGTGAAAAATGGCAGTGCCAATTCTCTTTCCTTTGGAATGTTGTCGTTTTTATATTTTTTATGTATAGACATTCCAATAAAATTATTTTTATTATTATTATTATTCATCGTCATCATCGTCATCGTCATCATCGTCATCATCGTCATCGTCATCGTCATCGTCATCGTCATCGTCATCGTCATCGTCATCATCATCATCATCATCATCATCATCATCATTATCATCATCATCATCATCATCATCATCATCATCATCATCATCATTACTTTCGACACTTATTACCACATTGACCTACCTCTTTAAAGCAAATTAATTTTTACTGTAACTTTAATGTGCGTGTAAATTGTAAGTAAATTTTTTGTTTTCTTAATACTCCGAGACTGGTTTTTAATTTTAAAGTCTTGCTACTATGGAAACCATATTGATTATTTTTTTTACACAAAGGTTGGTACAAACTCATGGAAAATCTAAAAATAAAAAAATAGGGGTTTTCATTTAAAAATCTAAAGTGTAACGCAATATCTTATTTTTGGATTACCCTGTCTTGTACGGCTACAAATGAAAAGACGTCCCTCTATAAATCAAAATTGACTTCTTCTATTCGTCATTGTCCGTGGGTCCTTTGCTCTTTGTGAAAGTATTGTAGGTCAGTAGGTCTGTCAGGTCTGGTTGCCCAGATACCAGACGAAGTCAGGGAGAAAGAAAGAAAGAAAGAAGAAAGGAAGGAAGGGGAAAGAGCAAAGAGGGTGAAGTGCGCCGGTTAAAAGGATGCCTTCCTATTGTTAACTGGTATTCGGTTAATTTAAATTAATCCAAAAATTAATTTAGGAATTTGTGTGTAGCAAAAATCGTAATTTTGGTTGGACCTAGAATTGCATGATTTGATTTTGATCACAGTGCGAGCTGCGGTCTTGTGTGCTTGCGAACTTGCTCGACTGTGTAGTCTACTGATTCACGCAACAGAGGGTTGCTGAGCGATTCCGCTTGACTATAACGTAACGCGCCTGATGTTTAATGTAGTCCCTTAGGTAAGGGATGTCGAGGTCTCTGTGAAGGGTCTCGTTGGAGACATACCATTTTGCGTTATTGATTGTTCGCAAGGTTCTGTTCTGCAAAAACTGCAGATTACGCATATCCGTTTTGGCAAGAAAACACCATGCTGCACATGCGTAAGTGATTGCTGGTCTGATAACCATCTTGTATAGCCGAACTTTGTTAACCAAACTTAATTTTGAGGTTCTACATAGTTAAGGGTAGAGTTGCAGAAACGTAATTTGGAATTTAGTTTTTAACGCTTCATTGTGATTCTGCCAGGTCATTCCCCTGTCAAGAGTGTCACCGAGAATCTTAGCAGAATTTCCCCATGGTATGCGAGCTCCATTCACTGAAACCTTAGGCGGGGCACCGCTACGTTTTTTAGTACACTAGATAGCCTGCGTTTTCGAGTAATTAATTTTGATTAGCCATCGATCTGCCCATTCCAATACCTCATCCACCGCACTTTGTAACCTGTCGTGAACCAGATTCCCGGTACGCGACTGGGCCACCAGTGTAGTGTCATCAGCATATAGATAGACTTCACAGTCGCTAGGGCAAGGGACATCATGCGTGAAAAGTGAGTAAAGGATTGGCCCTAGAACCGAACCCTGAGGGACGCCGGCCCTGATGGGCCATACTGTCGACAAGAAATTATTAATTTTGATCCGAAATTTCCTACCTTCAAGGAAGGATTTCAAAAGTTTTAGAAGCCAAAATGGAAAGCCCTTTTGAATTAGTTTATAGAGAATGCCCTTGTGCCACACCTTGTCAAATGCCTTCGAGACATCCAGAAGCAAGATGCCAGTACTTTCGTTAAGGGTGAAACCCCTGGTTACTCGCTCCACAAGCCTAACCGCCTGTAACTTCGTACTATGCTCAGACCGAAATCCAAATTGCACGTCAGGAATCACATGGTGATCTGACGAGAAATTCGCAAGGTGACGTAGAATCACCTTTTCAGCGAGCTGTGCAACTCTTCAGCTGAAGAATCTTCCGAAAAAGAATCTTCTGTGGCAGAATCACTAATGGCGACGCCGGGATCACTGACGCCGTTGGCCCTAAAATATCTCCTCACGGATCTCACAATTTGTTGCTCCTCGTCGAGATCATTATCAAGATCATAGTTGGGAGAGAACTGTCGTTCCATAGCATCAGCGAAAACCTCGACCTTGTCCTCTGTCATGAGGACTATGCCCCCAGGACTTTCCAGAGAGGAGTACTTGAGTCAAGCATCCCCACCAGAAAATCGTTCCATTGCTCATTGCGGAATTCATGGAGAGCATTTCTTACTTCATGAACAAGATTCGTCGCTCTGCGAATGTCATCAGGATGACAAGACCTTTTCGCTTGCTTAATTGCAGCCCTTTTGTCAGAAATTGTCTGCAGGGAGAAAAGGTCTGCCGTGTTGTTGTACAGGAAGTACAGCTGCATGCTGCAGAGCTTGCTGAACGAAGCTTGTCCACTCCGCTTGAGCCGCGTCTATACCGTTCTGATCATCTACGAACGGGATATTGGGGAACTCTCTGAGAAACAACTTGTATAGTTCCCAATTAACCCGTTTCCTTGGAGAAGCTCCCTCTTTCAAGGTTTGCTCACTACCCACTTCCAGTACGACAGGAAGATGATCGCTAGAAATGTCATACATGACTCGAGAAGTGATACTGTATCTGCAGTTTCTAGATATTGCAAAGTCGATGACATCTGGTGCCTGAAGGTGATTAAATGGGTGGTGCGGGGGCTCTTCAGTACTGTGTATGAGGTAGCCGTTTCGTATCACATGGTTGTACAGTCGAATACCACTGGTGGAATTCAACCTAGAATGCCATGCTCTCTGTTTGCAGTTGAAGTCCCGCGCTACAATAAGCGGACCGGAGTAGTCCATAAGGACTTCCAGGTCCGCCTCCAACAGCCTGGCACCACACCTGACATACACCTTCAACGGGACACCAATATTAACCTCCACGGAAGCCGCCTCAATGTTCTGCATGCCGGCATTTGTGCTTCTATGGTAGTCAATACCACGTTTCACTAGGACTGCCACCACGTCCAGTTAATCTATCGGCTCGGATAATATCATAATTCTGGAAAGCTAGACGATCTCCCGGATTAAGCAATGTTTCCTGCAACAGAGCCACATCTATACTCTCATCCAAAAGTACTTGATGAAATTCCCGTTTTTTGGGAATATCCCTAAAACCCAAACAATTCCAGAAAATAATTTTGATGAATGCAGGCTGTCTACTATTGTACCTAGCCATTTATCAGAAAGATCGCCTGCAAGGCCTGTGTAGCGCTTATCAGGGGACTAATTATCTGCTGCAAGGACCTTAGCTCTGTTGCCAGGTCCACGTGTTGAGCAGTCGAAGGTGAGCTCGGGACAGCAGGGGCAGCTAGAATATCAACCTTTGCTGCGTCTGCGTGTGATTTTACTCGCCTTTGTGCGATGACCTGTAGATTTCTCCTAGGGGTGACTCTACAGGTAGAACTGTTGGCCGGATGGTCCCCTCCACAGTTCGCACATTTGCGCGCCTCTTGTCCTGTTAGAGGGCACAGATGTGTCATGTGGGCTTGAGCACATTTGAGACACTTTGGAGGTGCAGTGCAATACGATGAGTCGAGAGTTCTTTCGAACCTCAAATCTGATAGAGAGCCTCAGCAGTTCATGTTCGTTGAACCCTTGCTGTGACTTCTCTGTCTTAGGCAGGATCACCACCACAAAAGGTATGGGCACGCCGCCGTTGCGCTTCAAGCGAATTACGTGGAGGGGAGTATATCACTTCTGTTCGAGCTCCTCTTTGATTTCCTGCTCAGCAGTTGACGCTGGGATTCCTCTAATAACAGCGTGAATGTTACGCTCAGAAGGCAGGGGAAATGTATGGTGAGGAACATTTTCCTCTTTGAAAAGACGAATTATCTTCCGATAATCGTCTTCGCTGTTAGGTACGATGCGTAACCCAGCATCAACAGCAACTGCTCGATCAATCTTAATACCAAGACTGGTAAAAGAATAGTTGACAGTGCGCCACTTTGTCGCATCCCGCAGTACAACAGGTGTAACACGCCCCTGACTGTGCCTGTGTGCCGAGGGTAGCGTTAGATGACGGAGATGTAGTGTTGCTGCCAGCCAAGGAAGCAGCTTGTGAGACTGAAATAGAGTTGCGACATTTAAGCTAGGTGCTTGCATTTGAGAATGCTTTAGCTGGCTTGCAGAATCAGCAGAAGAAACAGACCCAGGCGGTGTTATGTCCATTGAATTGGTATTGATTGGGGATTTCTCAGTCGGAAGGGAAGGGTATTCGTTAATTTTACGATTTTTTTAGTTTTTTCACTACCCTGTGTGTCGTCTTCTGTCTCTGTAGGTGAGGTAGGGCTGTTGTGTTTTCTCTTGGGAATTTTAATAGAACTATCATCAGGCGACATGAATTTATTTAAAGAAGTACTAAGGCTAAAAACCTGGGCATTGAGATTGTCCACGCAGTCCGTCAGTCCCTTGATTTGAGCTGCCTGGTCAGCGATGATCTGGTATAGCCTCTTCTTCTCGGTGTCTCTTTCAGTATCTGCAGCTGTCAAAGCCTCACTAGGCTTCGTATTCTCCAGCCTCTCAGGTACGCCGCTTTTTACTTCTTCTCTACTCGCTGTGATGGAGGGGTCGTCTGGTGACCCCTCAGACGTGCGTTCCATCTTATATTCGCTTCTTCTCTCAGAAAATTCTCAAAATTGTTTAAGGAGCAAAAATCTGACAGCTTGTCTTTTCCCTGTCTACAGGGCGATTATCAAAATTGACGTTTTTCTCAAAATATACCAGGAGAGTCACGAATGGGAATGCGACCTTCTCATCATTCTGGATGACTAGCCCATAATTTGAAACTTGCAAATTGGATCCCTGAAACCCATTGGAGGGGAATCACGTTTTGCAGTCAATTGTTTTTAGCGGTTTCGTCGCAATCTTCATACCTGATATACCAACGATTTTTTCGAGAACGTGGTTTTTATTGATTTTATTGCAAAAAATTTACCGTAATTGAGAAAATGCATCAGCAGGAAGTGATTTCAGTGTCCGTGAATGATTTTCGCATTAGAAAGGTCGAAGCGTTAAATCAAACTTTTGAACATATACAAGAGAAGGGCACCAAAAAGATAAATCGGATTATTTTTTATTATCTTATGTTAGTTTGAATCTTGAGACTCATTTTTGTAGAAATATCAACACTAAACATACCATTCACCAGTTAGAAGACTGGTTATGATCTTTTGCATTGAAAATGAGCATATCACTTCTGCACATTTTATCTCATGATTTGTTATATTAATTATATAAAGTTTATATTCCATTTGTATTCGGTTCATTTTCAGTAATACTTGTTACAAGTATACAGGGTGTAAACGTTAGGGTAGTCATTATTGAAATGGATAATAGGGGGGGTCAAAACAAGTCAAAAAGTTCATATGACCCATGGTCCAAAAGTCAATAGATTTTTGTCTAAATGGCTTTATAGTTTACAACTTTAAGTGCTTTATATCTACCACAATCACCACAATCTTACTAATTTTTATAATCCAATCTAAAACGTTTTTGAGTTGGGTAATTAACAAATAAATGGCATTAAGTTTTTCTAAGTTAAGCCAAAATTCGTCAGTAAGTAAGTTTCATTAAATTAAATATTTAAAACACACATGACAACAGCGCGTCGTCATCACTCTTATCGAACCGCCAACCGATCGCAAACGGTAACAGTGGTTAGTTATCAGGCATCGGGCGTGCAGTTTTGTTTTTGTTCGCGTACGTCGTCGTGTTTTTTTACAATGTTCTCGAATCAAGAGTTCGCCGACATGCTGTTAGTTTACGGTGAAGCTCGTCAGAATTAAAATCTTGCAGCTCACATTTATCGCGACAGTTTTCGCCAACGGGTACACCAAGACAGAAGAATATTTGTGCAAGTGTACCAAAGACTTCGAGATACAGGAAGTGTTCAGCCCACTAATATTCGCACTCGTGAAAGACAGGTTACTGTAGAGCAGGAGGAACAACTTTTAAATATCGTGGAAATCAATGCAGATATCATCACTCGGGAATTAGGCCGCCGCGTAGGACTATCGCATACCATAGTCCATAGAATCCTACCGGAAAATTTGCTTTATCCCTACCATGTACAACGAGTGCAGGCCTTGTTACCAGAAGACTATCCTCGCAGACTAACATTCTATCAGTGGTTTTTGCACAAAAACAATGAAAATCCGGATTTTTTTAAAAACATTCTAGCGACGGACGAATGTACTTTTACGCGGGACGGGATATTAAATTTCCGTAATACTCACACGTGGGCCCAAGAACATCCTCATACCATTCGTGAAGGTCATTTCCAACAACGTTTTAAAATAAATATTTGGGCGGGTATTCTTGACGATCGGGTAATTGGCCCTTTCGAGTTACCCCCAAAGTTGTCAGTAGAAGGATACCTTAGCTTTCTAGTCAATAACCTACCAGAACTTTTGGAACAGACCTTAGGCAACATGCCATTACAACGGAGACAGAATTTGTGGTTTCTTCATGACGGGGCACCAGCACACATTTTTAGAGGCGTCATTCAGTATTTGAGTGAACATTATCCAAATCGCTGGATCGGTCGAAATGCTCCTGATCCTCGAAAATGGCCAGCAAGATCTCCTGACCTCAATCCGATGGATTTCTGGTATTGGGGAGAACTTAAAGGGAAGGTTTATGGGGCTGGTCCAATAACAACTGAAGCACAACTTCGCGAAAAAAAATTTAATGCGGCTGAAATAATAAATGGACAACTTCGAAGACCTAGAGTAAGAAGAAACTGGGTTCGTCGTAATGAAGCTTGTGTGGAAAGTGGAGGACGACATTTTGAACACCTTCTTTACATACAAAAAAGTGCAGTGAGGGTTTTAAAAAGAGAAACAATGTATGTATCAAAATTGTGTTCCCTATGTATAAGTGGATTTTTTCAATACGTTCAATAAACTTTCACACACCAGGTGAAGCGCTGAGTGGTAAGTCTGTTTTTTTTAATTGTTCGCATTTTACGAGTACATTATCAAATAATGAAATAATACCTAAGAGCCAGAAATAACAAACTCCATCTTTACTTACACTGCGTTCCATCCTAATTTGCGTCTGGCATTACGGCGTTGTCAGATTTTATTTTACTTTAAAAAAATGCCGTTTTGACCCCCATGTTATATGAAACTTTTTGCTTCTTTTAACCCCCTCTATCACCCATTTAAATAATGACTGTCATAACGTTTACACCCTGTATATACATACCGTTATGTACCACAACCAGTCCTATGACCTGTTATGATAGAAATAGGTATGTGTTAAGTGTTGGTATGGTTATTATTAATCTAATGCCAAAAAAGGTTTACAGGTTATATGTTTCTTTAAATTTCCTTTTGAATGTTTTGCACGTTTTATGAAGCGACTACAGCAAAACAATGAAACAATATCAGGGATTCGAGTTTTCTTGGACTTACAATACTCTATGACTCGCGCAAGGCAAATTAATAAACAATCAAGAATACAGCATACTACTCATAAAGTTTAGGAAAACTTACCTGAGCTGGTTGCAACGTCTTTTGGAAAACTAGTAACCAAATCGTACATAATGACATGATGGAGGTTGTTGCACCAAAAGTCCAATAAGTACCATACTCTTCGTAAATATATGTTACAAATATGGGGCCCATAACACGTGAGAGGCAGCCAGAACCTGTGATCAAACCCATCCATACACCCTGAAATAACAAAATACACCACTATTTCAATACTTTTACATAACACCACACTAGTAACAGTCAATTAACCATTCACGAAAAAATAAAAGTTCATTGAGCGTCAATATCATAATCCCAGTACTTGGAATGAATGTTCTTCGTGACCCACTTTCCTCGTCACAAAGCCTTAAATATTTTCTTCAAGATTTCAAGACCCAGAAGGGCTCCATATAATTTTTTCGAAGAGCCCTTTTAAAATGCGGATTCATAAATAATGCACATCCAGCATCTGTAATCGAAGATTATAGAACAATGAACCGGTGTGTTGTGAAAATAGTTCTGGGTGGGTTCATCGTTTTCAGAAGACTTTTTGCATTTTCGGAGCGATGGATTAGAATGACGTGTTTGGTACATTCAAAAAACGACATATATGCTCGCATCAGACGATTTTGGGCTTTACTGATTTTGCGCGGTGCCAATTTAAAATTGCAATGATGGTACAATCTCAACTTGTTACAGGACTATTGCAGTAACACACTGTATCGAAATGTGCAAACGAAAAAAAAAGCAAACGATGTGTCATCTGGACGGCAGTTTAACGAAATAATTGTGGAAAGTGTCAAACCAAAAAGGGATTATAATAATAGACATGGTTTCATTCAGCATAAAAACTAAAGGATACGTTTCAGACGTCATATAAGCACATTCACGATAACTGTGCATATTCCGAAAAGAGTAATTTTATAAACGGGAATACTAACCTTAATTTTAAATCCGTTAATACTAACATTCGTAAAAATTACGATGCCACTCTTAAATCAAATTCAAGCGAATAGCAAAATGAAAATGGTATTTACCATTTTGGTTTGGTATTTACCGACCCGTTCAAGCAAGTGTGGTTACTAGTTTGGTTATAAGATCCGTGACGTCATGAATCAGCTGTTATATGTCATAGTTATCACTGTAAAACTGTGGTATTTACCCAACTCCTGAGTAGTTTTATATTTCTGGTTATTATTTGAAATGTGACAAGGTTTGGCGGGTACTGGATAATTTTGTTGTGCTTCAGCTTCATTTTTTGGAAACTTGATACATGCTGACTTCAGTTGTAGCATAAAGTAGAGTACCTTATTAGTTATACTCATTACTGTTGCTGGGAATACCTTAAATCTAGTTCCTATGCTTAAAAAAGTATCCTGTGTAGCCATATCCCACAAGAATATTAAAATATGGTCATATAAACTTACTGGATAATGTCCACCTGTATACGGTTTTGCTAATATCTTTTTTTCATGGCTTTTTCCTACCATTTTTGCTAAATCAATAAATTAATGTTTTCTTTAAGATGCGGAAAAGTTTAGAGAATTGAAAATTATCATAGCTACAAAGCCATGGTTCCATCATTAAAAATTGTTTTCGGAAAAAAAACATTTCTGTTATGAAAGGTTTCTTTTTTAAACTTTCCATACACTGTTGTAGACAAAAAGGACCGATTATTAAGTGATAATAAAAATAATCAGAAATTATATGCGCACTTTTCTAAAAAAAAACAACTTGCAACAAAACCGCGGTTCAAACCAACGCGTTCAAGCGATTCGAGTAACTGACGTCATCAAACCGTGTGTCATGTTAAACCATACTATAACCGCGGTACATAACACAGAAATTTTGGTTATTCGCTTGGATTTGATTTTAAACTAACACACATCCAATGGATATCGAATTCTTTCTTACACGGAACTACCACAGTACTGTGATCACACTGGCTCAACAGAAAACTAGACGAGAGTCTAGCGTAAATAGTTGTACTGCGACGATAAGAGCACGAGCAAAAAAACAGTAGCGTCGTAAAATTTACGATGGTTAGTATTCCATGGTTAAATAAAAAAAATACACTTCAAGAAATAGGAATAAGTATGGTCAACCTTCACATACGATGTATTTATTATCTTTAATTAGAACACTTTTTAATATCTATTTTTGCAATTTGAGGTAATGTACTATAAGCTTTCAGTTCCTGAAATTGATTTTTCTTAAATATACACATTAATCCAGGTAACGAATGTATTTAAGTATAGGTTATTAGGATTAATGCTTTTCTTGTATTTTTTTGGTTAAATTATATAATAGGAGCTTGGGTGCAATTAAGGACATTACCTTACTGATGGAGTGTTTTCGCGTCGGGTCCCCTGTGGCATAATTTTCACTTGCACATATGGGGAAAAATATACGTTTATGAATCCGTGAGAGCGCAGCAAGTAAGACAGCTTATTTGATAGCATTTTGATAATTTGACTAAATTATAAAAATAGGTAGTTTTCGTTTCCAAAAAATCCTGCCGACCCTTGAAATTCATTTGTCATTAATTGAAATCCTAATTTCTGAAAATCTAGATAAAACCAAATTTTCATAATTTCTTTCAAGAATATATATAATGGAGTCATTAGCTAAAATCAAAATAACTGTATAAAAATCACATCCTTCAGAATTTTTGTGGGCGATTGGTAAACGGGAACTGCATTTGAGGATGAGAACTACAAAGTTAATCTACTTGACATTTTTGGATCGTATTACATTTTATAGAAATTGTTACAAAACTTTCTTCTTTAGAGGAACATTCAGAAATTTCTAAGCAACCGAACTCTGGTTCAGGGCAAATAAAAACCTTATATTTGTATAAAATGATTGTTTTTAATACGCATGTTCTGATAATATACCGGTCGTTAATCTGCTTCCACTCGACAGTCCCCAACTAGCAAAGTAGTGCTATAAGCTTTTGGTAAAAGAACCGTTCAGCCATAAAAGCTCTCTATTGTTGTTGCCTGAACACCAAAATGCTGGCTTAATGTTGTGTGGAATGCAAATCTGCTTTCTGCAACATACATATTTGCTCTAAAATGAGGTGTTTAAAATATTCTTATAGCATACTTACACAACACCTTATAGGACAAAATTTCAACTGTTGCATAAACGTGTATACAACTATTTTACACGGCATATTTGCAGGTTAGTCAAAATGGTTGAGTTGTGGCATCCATGGTAACGTTTATAAAACAAACCCGAGGCTTGTTGTTTTGCTGTGCAAATTTACTACTTTAGCCAACAAATTGCTCCCAATGAAAGCACTTATACAACTGTTGTTTAGTAACTGTAGGCTGTACATATGCTAAATATGTTGGTATACAACTTCACCATAACCTAACTTTCTGCTGTCATATTTTTATTAAAATGCCATAACCAATGTTTTAAGACAAACAACGCATGCATATTGGTTAAAAAGGTTTTATCAACTGTTCAAACAGAAGATATAGATCTGGTAAACAAATTCTAGGTAAATCGTTCGACTCTGTCGGTATTTCATTTCTGACATTTGTCAAATTGTTGTATAACACCTGCAGGTAACACCAAAATATTCTAATAAACTAAAGACAACATGGACGATGCCATGATTATACACAACCACCCGCCATATTGGGCAGACATTTATTCCTCTATCTGATATTAAATAATTATGTTTCAGTTCGAAATTACAGATATAAAGTGATAAACATTAGTGTAATTGTGTCTAAATATAGGATTTGTGGAAGATTTAACGCAGATAAGTTCAGTTTTCCATCCTAAAAATCTAGACATACTTTTGATCATTGTCAAAATATGAATCAAGTACAAAGCCCGTAGAAATTGCGTAACTAATTTGCAGGATAATCACAATGAAATTTGCTGCGCAAGTAATTCAATAGCCCTACATCACAGTGTAGAAGTTAATCATATACTTGTGTATGAAAGTCACAATGGCCGATATGTAAGTAAACAAGATGACTGTATTGTGTTAGTTATATATATATTATTCACTTCGTCTATACAATACATAAGAAATAGTTTGGTTGCAATAAAATAGAATCACGTAACAGAATAGTTGTATAGTTGACAAAAACTGAATCTTGCACTGACGCAAATGTCCTATAGCGGCTGCAAGAGGCTTACACTTTTGTTGTATAACTGTTACTTGCAGCCCTTATACAACCTATTAAATGACTGAAGTGTCCTATTAGGTGTGCCCATTCCGCTTGTATAGCTGTTCTAAGAGGGTTTTGCCAATGTCCTTACAGTATACAATGTTGTGTAAGGAATACTGTATAATCATTCTTGCAACTCTAATAGGAGTGATAATTGTTAGTTGGGTCACCAACTTGACCGGTGTGAAGTTGGCAGACAAAATTTAGCGGACAATTTGCCGAAGATACCCGAATGACCAGTGGCGTCGACATCCTCGACCAGACTGTGATTGTGAAGGATACAGCTAACAGCTCGCAACAATAAATATATATGCACGAGAATAAGCACCCCTATAGGAAGAATCATTTTCCACCCTAATTAAATAATTCGCAGGAACAAGAGTTAACCCAAAACCTTTCTTCGAATTTTCACTTACCGATTACTGTATTGAAAGTAATTAATGAGCTAAATGGCATATACTGAGAAAATCTCTAAAGGGGTGTTAGATGAAAAAATATAAATAAAACTTCATTTTCAGCCCCAAAAAAATGATTCCCCAAAATGATTTATATCTCAAAAAAATACTCTATTACAGAGACAATTCATGGGCTAGGTGGCATGGTGTGAGAAAGCTTCTGAAAGGCTGGCAGATAAAAAAATATGCTAAAAAATTCATTTTCACCCCCAAAGAAATGATTCCCCAAAATTAGTTGTACCTCAAAAAAATACTCTATTATAGAGACAATTTATAGGCTGGGTGGTATGGTGTGAGAAAGCTTCTGAAAGGCTCGCAGATAAAAAATATGCTAAAAAAATTTATTTTCACCCCTCAGGAAATGATTCCCCAAAATCAGTTGTACCTCAAAAAAATACTCTATTATAGAGACTATTTATAGGCTGAGTGGCATGGTGTGAGAAAGCTTCTGAAAGGCTGGCAGATAAAAAAATATGCTGAAAAATTCATTTTCACCCCCAAGGAAATGATTCCCCAAAATCACTTACTACCTCAAAAAAATACTCTATTA